ATACTGTTATCAAAATTACAAAATTTAATCTGAGGGAAAAGTGATAGTAGCACAAAATAAAATATATAAAATCCCATTTTATGAGCAAATATTCAGCCTATAATTAATTATTTAGAAACTGATCGCATTTTTGAGAAACTAAGCTCCTTTGTGTTTCTTCATCCTTTATTTCTTCTGCCTACATTTTTTCTATTTTTCAACTCATTTATATAACTTATTCTAGAAAAGAAAGGCAAAAAGAGAAGGAAAGAAACAGATCCGTTAATATAGTTATTTCTTAGCAGATCTGAAAGAAGTGGAGAAAGTTTAAATTACAACGAGAGACCCATTATGGGTTGCCTGCTACACCAATGTGCAGCAGCTACAATTCCTTTGTCTTCCCCTGGTCTGGATAACTGAGAATTAGCTGATATGTTTTGAAAGAGGTAGAACACCGCATCTCTAAAACTATTCATCACCAATGACTGAATGATCCTGCAACAATTGAAACCTTGTCTACAAAAATGCACTGAAGTTTTTAAATTAGATAAAAATTTCTAATATCATTAAAGCTAATATGTTTAGCTAATAATAAGCTAATAATCTTTAGCCACATCAGATTATTAGCTATTTTTATTAATTGCTGCTGCATTTGGTATGCAATTCCCTATGCCACAGAAATATAAATCTAGGTAACTCAAAAGAAAAAGAAAAAAATTTTATCCACATCAAGAGAAAAATATCTACACAGAAATTAAAAAACCATGCAAGCACTTAATTGAAAATATCAGGCATCATGTACTTAAATAAATACATCAAGAGAGAAAGAAGACAGCAGCGGAACCTAAACCTAAAACTGAATACACAAATGGACAATGGCCAGATCATACATAAAAATACAAGTCTAACTCCCAACTTAGAGCAACTTGCCTAGGAAACTATATCTACAATAAATAGCCCAGGAAGCCAGTCTGCTCTAAGTTAGACTTGCAGGAAGTCAGATTGTCACCTCCAGCAGCAATCCAGGAAGCTAAACAGTAACATCTATAACAACTGAACCAAAGTAGTCAAGACTTGATTAACTAACAGCTTCCCTAAATTTTGTCACCACTTCCAATTTAGGACAAACCAGAGAAAGACAAATATGCACCTCTAACTAACCACATTGAATGCCCCACTTCTAATTACCCCCTCTTACAGCTTCCCCACACCAACAGCCTCCAACCAAGGCATACTTAAAGCCTTCCCTTGTCTCCACTATAAAGCTTTCCCATTCTTTTGTCTGCCTTTGAGTCTCTGCCAAAATGCAAGTGGCAGTGGCTAACTCCCTTGCTATATAGCAAGCTCTGAATAAAGAGCCTTTACATTTCTCATTTGGTGGGTCTTCATTTATTTCCACACTATTGAGCATCTACTACATATCCATCAATGGGGAACACACTTAGATATCCTAAAAAGTTAATTTTCACAATATTTTGAGAGGCTTTTTTTATCCCCATTTCACAGATGTACAGAACTGAAGTCTGTAGAAGTTAGTTTTTTGTGCTTTCCTATTTACATCACGCTAGAGTCATAGTTTTTGGTATATTATTGTGATAAAGGTATTTAAGATAATATTAAAAGGGCACTAACAATAACAACAATAATAACAACAACAGCTATAAATTAGTTGGGTATTTTTTAGCATTATTTGCATATTTATCTATCAATTTGCTGGATAAATGTCAACATTGTATTTTTATTTGACTCATTGCTTTAAAATTATAATGAATCAAAATACACACAAAGTTTGAAATAATCAAAAGCACCATAGAAGAAATGACTTCTCTATCCTATTTGCTATAAAAACACATCAGCAGAAATAATTTGCTTGTCAAGTAGTGACTGAAGCAACAGGTTTTTTTTAAAGAAAATGTGTAGAAAACCTTATAAGAGGGGTACCTGGGTGGCTCAGTCGGTTGAGTGTCTGCCCTCCACTGGAGTCATGATCCCAGGGAACTGGGATGGAGCCCTGAGTCGGGCTCCTTGCTCAGTGGAGAGCCTGATTCTCCCTCTGCCTCTGCCCCTCCCCAACTCCTCCCCACCACCTCGCTCGTGCTCACGTGTGTGTGCATGCATGTGCGCGCGCGCGCTCTCTCTCTCTCAGATAAATAAAATCTTTAAAAAAAGGAAAGAAAAACCTTATTAAGAAAATGTAGTTATTTACAATAGTGACAAGGAAACAAGTAAAAATGAAATTTGAGTGATTCTGAAAAAGAATAAGTATTTGCCTGGCACTTTTTTAAAAGGTAATTATTTAACAATCACATAAGTTAACTACCATTGCATTTATTTTACAGATAGAAACAAGTTGTAAAGACATTTAAGAACATTACCTAAAACTTACCAGAACATTACCTAAAACTTATCAGTTAGTGAGCAAAACAGTCTATATTCAGAAACTGAAATAATTTTTGGTTTCAAAGTTCAACAGATATGCTTAAGAAACATCTGATTAAAATTCACTTTAACATATTCCCTTACCACACAAGTTGGCACAGAACCTAATTGCATTGAAGTAATTTATTTTCTAACTATAAAATAATATAACTTAGCTTTATAGGAAGAAGCAGGAAAAACAGCATTTGCACAAATTAGAAATTACTATGGAAGCTACATAAAACTAGATTTTTTTAAAAAAAATAGGAAAATATAGATGATTAATAAGGCCTTTTAATGCCTGAAAATAAAATGATATTTAAGAACAATTCCCTTAACAGAGATCTGAAAAACTAAAAAGAAATCTACAGATAACATTGTTTAAATAATAATGTGGAATAAGAAATGATGACTAAAGGCCAAATAATTCCTCAGGTGGTTTCTACTTTGTCTCACTAATTTCATTTAGTTAATTCAAACCTTTATTAAGAATTCCTTGCTTTGAGCCTAAATTAAAATGAACAGTCGGAATCTGAGAAGCCTTATAAAAGAAAAAGATTCAAGTTGTTGGCCTTTATAGCATCTCATGTTAAGGAAGGAAAACTATTTTCTGAAATGTCTCTGTTTTAATAAAAGTAATGAATTTGTCACATAAAATTATAAATACCAAAGTTATAATTTGGCCACTTTGCTAAGCATATAGAGGGGGAAAAAACTACTTCCTTTTTATACCTGAAAGACTTTGCTCCTTCCCATAAACGGGACTGATGCTCAGTGACTATCAATTGATTTAACTTTTAAAACTTTTAGTTATCTTCTCCCCATTGGGATGCAATGACATATTTTTCATATAAAAGAAAAACTGAATTTTGTTTTGTTTTGTTTTGTTTTTGCCTCTTGCTACACATCAGCCCTTCTGAATGGGGCAAATGAGCAAAAGGTATGGAGTAGGTTGGAGAATGCATTTTTTTTTCAAAGATTTATTTATTTATTTGAGAGAGAGAGAGAGAATGAGAGATAGAAAGCACGATAGGGAAGAGGGTCATAGGGAGAAGCACACTCCCTGCTGAGCAAGGAGCCCGATGCGGGACTCGATCCTGGGTCTCCAAGATCATGACCTGAGCTGAAGGCAGTCGCTTAACCAACTGAGCCACCCAGGCGCCCTGGAGAATGCATTTTATAAGAAAATCACCTGGTGGATTTTTCCAAGCAATACGTACCTCAAACATTGGGGTAGATGTCAAGAAAAACAATGGTATCATGAAAATCACATGTTCTAATAACTTTGAAACAGTAGTATGTGGGCAGACAGCCTGCATTAGAATCCTACCCTTCCACTGGCTAACTGTATGACACCAGTCAAATCCCTTAACTGTGACAAGTCTTCATTTGTAAGACAGACAGAATGATAATAGAACCCAAGGAGATTGTTGTAAAGATTCGGAGACTTAGTATATGTGTGTTGGTACAGAGTAAACACCAGGTGAATGTTACTTTATTATTGTGAATCTGAAACAAAGCAAATAATTTCATTTTAGAAAATGAGCAGAAAGTTGAAAGTTTTCTTATGCTTATGGTCAAGATAAATAGGATGATGTTTGTTCCACTGGCTATGATAATGTTCTTAAATGTAGGAGCCTGGACACTTCTTGAAGGTGGAGTGATGTCAAAATTCTTTGAATCTCAAGTATCTGATAATGTCTCATGTGCAGAGGTACTCAATACATGTTGAGTGAATAATGAATGAATTTTTTTTTTTTTAAAGATTTTATTTATTTATTTGAGAGAGAGAGCACATGAAAGGGGGGAGGGTCAGAGGGAGAAGCAGGCTCCCAAGGAGCAGAGAGCCCGATGTGGGCCTCGATCCTGGGACTCCAGGATCATAACCTGAGCTGAAGGCAGTCGCTTAACCAACTGAGCCACCCAGGCGCCCTAATGAATGAATTTTTAAAAATAAGTGAATGAACACATGGGTTGACAGTTTTCAGAAAAAGAATGGTATTCATATAGAATGGGCTTAATATTTAAAATAAATGCAAATTCTTTTCAGAAGTTTCTTTTGAAACTTAAATCTACATCTTAGAAATGATTCGGTAGTCTTCCCAAAATGATTGATATAGTCCAAAGTATTGCAGTTTTCTGTTTCTACTTCAAACTGACAGAAAATATTTAGTCTCTTGAGGGAAAGAGAGTTGTACTTGTATCACCTCTTGACTACAGTCATATCATCTTTTTTGAAGAGAGCCTACCTTGTTAAGAATTTTCATTTATTTATAAACACATAGTTTTATTAGCTTGAATGGGTTGATTTTTTATTAGTTGAATTGGTAGATTTTTTAAAACTAAAGTTTAACTAACATAAGACAAAGGAAACATTTCTCCTCTTGAAATCTTAAAGATATTTCAGAGTACATATTGTATTACCCATGCTTGTGTTTCGAAATTAACTCTACATGGACTTTCATTGGTATAGTATGTTTTTAATCTAGGAATCCTGCTGAAATGAGCTGCATAATTATTTTGTAATTCTAGGGCTTACAATATATTTGCATGATTTTATTTCTCAGAAATAATATGGGAGGTGGTAGATGATTATTTCTTACCCTATTTGAGTCAATTCTCGCTCTGGAAGTATAGATGGGCGGGGGGATGTTGAAAGCTTGAGGGACCAGGTATTCCTCAGCATCCATCATATCTTCCAAATCCTCTTCATCCAAGAGATTCTGAAAGAACTTGCTGTCATTTGGACTGGGAAGCTTCATGCGATCATCACCCTAAAAGTTTGCCCACCAGACAAACAAAAAATGAGTCTTCTTTTCACCTTAAACATGTGGACTTTGCAGCAAATTTACATAATATCAAAGCAAGTGGTTGAAAATTCATGCACTCGTTTAAAAAAATAATTCTTTAACACAATTACCAGTCATGAAGGAGCCTGTAACATACTTAGATATGACAGGGTAAGATAAATACATTTAACCGAATGTGATAAATGCCATCAGAGATGAATAAAGCAGAATGCTCTGGCTGCTTTGAAGGAGGCATAATCTATTTCAGATCTGAGAATAACAGCAGGCTTCATTGCCAGGATGTTTGAGCTGTGACTTTAAGAATAAATAATAAAAGACAATTGACTTATCAATCTTTATCTTATTTAGTTGGTTTGATATTGTAGAGTTCTCAGGACATACAGGCTGCTCCATGATTTGTCCTAAGGCTTGGACATAATTTGGACAAATATAATTTATAAGACAAATCTAATTCTTTTTTTTTTTTTTAACAGAAAAGGAGAGTTTATTGAAAACTATATACAGTTGGTCCAGTCCCTACCACAGGCTGCAATCTGGGCTGGCCCCTCCCACACCTCAGACAGCAGCTCAGCCCGGACGGTAAGGGCTGGGGCTGGGGCTGGGGCTGGGGCTGCGGCTGGGGCCTGGACTCCCTTGGGAATCTTGGCAGCCAGACCACCCCCCACCCCAACGGATATTCATCTGTGAATTTACCACTCTAAATGGCCTGTTGGTGGTGGGTAGGGAACAGGGAATGGGTCCCTGCCCTGACCTCACCAAAGCCTGGATAGGGGAACACTATTCTTAAACGTGGACCCAAGAGGCCCAGCTAGGCTGTCTGGAAGTCCTGGCTACTTCCCTCCCAGGAGGCCTTCCTGGACATGGAGGAAGACAGCCCTCCTACCCCCCCCACCCCACGTGCCAGGCCCCATGGGCTTCAGAGACTTGGACTGGGGACATCAGGTACCCTCCCTCCCATCGCCGACTCAGGGGCCAGGGCTCCTGGAACACTTCCCAGGCAGAAGACCTCGGGTTGAGAGGTGAGTGTTGGGGAGGTCACAGCTGAGGGCCCAGGACCCTCCTGGGGTGGGGGGCTTGTTTTGCGGGTCAGGGCGTTCCACTGTAGCTTCCAAAATCACAGCACAAGTAGCAAATAATATAAACGAAGGTGGGAGAGACACCAAAACCCTGCTCTTTTTTACTTCATCTATTTCTTAAATATGATTTTTTTAATTTTTCAAAATTATGTGATATTTTTGTAAACAAGTTGTTTATGCAAATTAATTTGGCAAAAAGATAACTGGAAACTATTCTAAAACCTGGCTTTTATCTTCATGTCAGACTATTGATAGAAGATAAATGCTACCTTGTTTTATTGAGGAAAATTAATTCAGTGCAACCCAAGGTCCATTTGTTTATGATTTAGATAAAAATAATCATAGATAAATATACTACAATTTTTCAATCCATTTTTTCTAGTGTTTAATATAAAATGTCTTTTGGGCTATCATTTGATTCATATGTACATCAATTCACTTGAATCTGAGTTATTGCTTGGATACTGTATATCTCCCCAAACAAAACATATTTATAAATATTTTTTAGGAAATTAAATATCAATATATTGAAACTATTAATTCACTGTCTTCAACCATGGACAAGATTAAAACAAAAATCCATCTTCTGGGCGCCTGGGTGACTCAGATGGTTAAGTGTCTGCCTTAGGCTGAGGTCATGATCTCCAGGTCCTTGGATAGAGCCCCAAGTCGGGGCTCCCTGCTCAGCAGGGAGTCTGCTTCTCCTTCTTCCTCTGCCCCTCTCCCCTGCTCATGTGCTCTCTCTCTCTCAAATGAATAAAAATTAAAAAAAATTCTTAAAAATCCATCTTCCTTTTATTCTGAAAAGGGAAGATTATAATGGACATGACTTAACGCATGTTAATAAAAAGCAGAGTGCTAGAAGGCTTGTCTGGGGATAAGGACTTTTTATTTATATGGATAATCATAATTATCTTGCTGTTCAGTACCAGAGGCACTTGAATACTAAGGGAAGAATCTTAGAAGTGTTTGTGACGTCGAGTGAAAGGCTCTTTCCATAAGTCATTTCACATGATATTCTGCTTAATCGACTTATGAGTGGTGATTTCCACAGTTCCAAAGACCAGATATGTACCAACCTGAATAACTAGATATCTTTGAGGGTCTCGAGCCATCCTCGAAAATTCAGCAGCCAGTTCCTTAAATTTAGGCCTACTGTCAGCATCAATCATCCAACCTAGAAATTCACACACAATACAAGAGTCACTCTATCCATAATTAAGAAGAAGTAGGATGTAAATTTTATGAAAACATAGGCTAAGTTTGGAAAATATTCTTTTAATAACAATGATCTAAAAACAAAAACAAAAAAACAAAGCTAAAGAAAGAAACAATCCAATTAGGTGAGGTTCTATCTCAATCAGTTTGTTGATATTCAGAAGTAAATGTAATACATGACAGAATAACAGAAACTTTTCATTTTGTTGATCTAATTTAAAATTAATTTTTCTTACAAAACATAACCTAGGCTAACTATGGGAACTTACAGAATCTCTGATTTTTTTTTTTTTTTTTAAGTATGGAGAGAATGCCTTTTTTTTTTTTTTAACTTTTCTATGATGGGGATATAATTTATTATTTTATGTCAGGAGTGACATGAAGCTTTGGTTACAATGCAGTACACCAGCCCAGAGGGGGAAAGGGAAGAGAAAGCAACTTTCTCATGCTGCTTTCTTCCTGGTGGGAAAAAAACAATCCAAAATGATTGGTAATGTTTGTTCAGCAACAGCCATTAGCTTATCTAAGTACTAGCCTTTGCAGCATAAAAATACTATCAGCAATTTTCAAGGTATGTATTATTATTTAGCTGGGAGTCTAGATAAAGTGGGTCTTATCTCCCCAGGCTCTGTTTAGCTGATGATATCACAAGAATAAAAGCACAAAGCTTTTGCTTGATTTTCTGGCCAAATGACCTTCTTCTTAGGTATTAAAACTCATAAAAGCAAGGTAAAACACCCTATTAGGCAAAATATTTTCCTGATTTTTCATTGTTTCATCAGAGTATCTAAATGAAATATCTAAATCACCTCTGAAGCTAGTTATGAGATCCATTTATATAACACATGCATTTTTTTTTTTTTTAAAGTTCCTTCCATAGATGACTGCTGAATGATGTTTGATCCAATAAAGCTATAAGGTTTATTTCCTTTTTCTGGGGGTTCAATTTTTAGTCTTGTCCTGGGAAGTCTTTGGGTGTCATATCATGTATCATTAATATCACCTGAATTTTTTCTCTCTTAACAAAGCTCAACTATATGCATCCACTTAGAAAAAATAAATGCTGTTGATACCAAGATGCTAATGAGAAAATAGGTGTTTCTGGAACTACTGCAATCAAAAAAGGTTAACTTTGCTGGGAGGTATCACTTCTTTCTAACTAAATATTGAGTAAATAGAACTATGCTTAGAGAAAAGGGCATGCTGACCTGAACTGGAAAGCACATTTTTTATTTCTTCCCTCACTGTCAGAATGTATCACACATGTCATGAATACAAATCTGAGTAGACCTGGGTCCAAAGTCTCTTATTAATAAGATGCTTATTCACCTTCACCAGTTTGTTTCTTTGCTAACCCTGTGTAAATCAAAAGGGGAAAACCCCAGATTACACAAGAAAGATTGCTGAATGCTAATCCCATTTAAATTAAGTAGGAAACTCCAGAGACTTCCCTAATTCTGTTTAAATTAAGAGCCTAGGCTGCCAAAACACATTTATAATACATATGTGTCTGGGGCACAGAAAGGAGAAAGAAAAGTAAGAGTGTTTGATGTAAACAAATGATCAAATTGAAAAAAAAAGTAAATATTTGTAATCTTTTTATTTCACTGTAGATTCATGTCTTCTCACTTCCCATTCTGCCCTGCTAATTTCCTGTTGACTAAAACTGGTAAACCTATTTCCATTTAATTCATTTTTTTAAACTATCAGTTTCAAGCTTTCTTCCTTTATATTTAGATCATTTGTTTAGACTGCTATTTTCCTATAAAGATTACTAGCATTATTGTGACTAATTACATCTCTTTATGAAAGACAATTTGATTATCATGGAAATGATAAGAATCAAAGTGAAATGAATCAGAAGAGTAAGAGTCATATAATTTTGACTTTATAACGTGGAAGCATGCATATTGATGCATACTGCTTCTTATTAACAATAAGCCAAAAACACAGGTGTTTACATGATTTTTCATAATTTTTGAACTTTCATATTTTTCATATACAAAAACATTATGCAGGTAGATTAATCCATACTATTGTTTTACTAAGCATGATGATGGTGATGACAAAATTATTTTGCAATCTTACATTTGACCATGACCATGTAAACATCAATAGTGCAGATTGGAGGCTGGGGCAAACGTTCTCCTTTCTCTAATAAATCCGGGATCTCTCGGGTTGGAATTCCATCATAGGGTTTTCCTCCAAAGGTCATCAGTTCCCATATAGTGACTCCTAAATTGGAGATCAAATATTTACATAAGCATACTAACAACATAGTATGAAGAAACCAGCAGTATGCCAATAACAAAAGAAAGCTCCCTGGGAGGCAGTCAAAAATAGTCTAAAGAGTCTGGGTGGCACAGTCAGTTAAGCATCCAGACTCTAGGTTTTGGCTCAGGTTGTCATCTCAGGATCATGGGATCGAGCCCTGCCTCAAGCTCTGTGCTCAGTGCCCTCCACCCCAACCCCACTCTAAAATACATAAGTAAATCTTAAAAAAAAAAATAGTCTAAAGAAAGGCTCTTCAGATTTCTATATCTATTAGGAGAAGCCCAATGACAAAATCTTTGTGGGAAATTCAATTATCTTATTATTGTCTTGAAATTTTTAATGAGTAACAGAGACAATTCAGAGTGGATGTCAAAATACAGAGTCTGTTCCCCATTTCTACTTTTAAGTAATGTTAATGTTTGCTGATCCAAGTTTATTTTCACTACACCACATTAGAGCCTATCAAACAATTCATTATATACATGTGTATTCAGTATCAAGTAAATATGATTGCAGATAAAATCTGATGTTGACTAATTTTGATATTAACATTTTTGCTATTAAAAGTCCTGTAGGCTAAGCTCGGATGCCAGAATGATTACCTTATGTTATGGTAAATCCTTGTGGCTCTCTTTTTAACTCACACAAAGAGAACAGGTAGAATAAAACAGATTCGTATCTTTAACACCTGTGAGAGCCTGAGTGATCCAAATATAATGTAATACATATGAAGTAAGCATCACAAAACTGAAGGAAATCAATAATAGTTGATTCCATAGATATGGAATCACTTTCTTGAACCACTAGAACAGTGATTCCCTCTGTAAATATCAGCAGGCAAAGAGCTAACTTTGATAATAATGATTCTGATTTGAACAATAATATATACACTATAGACCTCTTTGTGATCTCATAAATATACAATTAAAAAGTTCATTTCTTAAGGATAAGGATTTTAAGTTCAGAAATAGCTATCTGTGCGTAAGAGTCTTACCAAGTAAATTTTGATTGGTTCATATAATATACAAACTATGTTTTAATATAAAATCCATTAATTAGGACTATGTTTTCTTTTCTACTTCCAGCTGTAATGAATTATTTATTCAGACTGAAGTCTTTTTTTTAGCTCATGACAGTTATCATTGACTGATAATAAAAATACACAGCTTAAGATATAAAAGCATATGTGAACTTCAAATTATCCTTTATAATAATATCATAACAATTACCTGATTTTTCTTTTTAATATTTTTATCTTATGATTCTTAGGTATAATATAAAAATGTAACTAGTGATACAATTTAACTATCTGATCTTGATTAAATCCTACTTAATTTTGCATATTAAAGAATGGCTCTGTAGAACCAATAATTAAGATTCAGTGTCCATGAGACAGGCTGGAACAAGTTAAGAAGTAGATGGTTGTCCATTTCTATTCAATCAGTCAATATAAATACATATTTATAGAATATTTAATGAGGCCATTTTGTTAACTTATATATGCAGTTATAAAATAATAGATGCTCTCACATCTTTATCAGAGCTTCTAAAAAAAAGAACTAATGTAAACAAAATGCAAAGCAATTACAAATCAAAATAATAGAAAATATAAAAAAGAGAAACACATACATATAAAAACAAAAGTAGGAACAGCAAAACCCCCACTTCTGCCAATAATAATCCAATTATATCTTTTCAGGAGTGACCACAAAATATGGTTAAACAGATGGCCTCATGTAGACGGACAATCCCAGGAAAACTGAATTAGAAACATCCTCAAAACTTACAATCCTATCATTTGAACATAAAAACCATAGCCAGTGCATCTTTATTTTAATGGTGGCAGTTTTCCACAAAGGTGCATTGTAAACAACGTTATGTTTCTCTCTGCCTTTTATGTCTTTTGCAATCAACTATGATATATCATAAAAATCTTAAAATGCCTTATGGATATGGGTTGATGACCTGGACTATGTTTCAAAGCAGAGTACTAATCTATCTATCTATCTATCTATGTACTTATTTTAAGGTCATTTAAAACTGCTTGCAGCAGATTGCCACTTTTAGTTGAGGGAAACATACATTGAAAAAAAAGGAAAAGAAAAAAATAATATATATGTCATATATATCAAAATTTACATGATAACATATAAGTCTATCATATAAAATATAATCTATAAAACTATATCATATTATATATGCTAATTTGTTTCATGTAACATATATACTAGATTTGTGTTTCTATTTAGTCTTTATAGTTCAACAACTAAAATTTTTCAATCGTTTCCCTATACTTGTCTATATCTCAAGCACAGCACACTTTCTACTTCGAAGCTTAGTAGAATACATGGAACCTTTGTGGACATTTTAAACAAACAGCATAGGTGTGTGGAGGAAAAAAACACTTTACAGAAATGTCTTAACCTTTTTTTTTAAGATAATTTGTGCTTTTCTAGATAAGAGGTATAAGTTCTCTAGTGATTTGAATGGATTAAGTCTTTTTTCTAAAAACAAAAACAAAGATAAAGCTAGACTTAAATTTGAGTAAACTAAATTGTACCATGCTTTCAAGTCACACCACCACCTTTTTGCTTAAATGGGCATCATGCTTTTAATTTGTAAGAAATACTGGTTCGGGGCGCCTGGGTGGCTCAGTTGGTTAAGCGACTGCCTTCGGCTCGGGTCATGATCCTGGAGTCCTGGGATCGAGTCCCACATCGGGCTCCCTGCTCAGCAGGGAGTCTGCTTCTCCCTCTGACCCTCTTCCCTCTCGTGCTCTCTATCTCTCATTCTCTCTCTCAAATAAATAAATAAAATTTAAAAAAAAAAAAGAAATACTGGTTCTTTGTGACATATTTAAACTTAGAAAAGGTGTTGATTCATTCTCACTAATACCTGGATGGACTTAAGATGTAAATAGTTAGATAGATCTAAATATCTCATCTCAACAATTGAGTTAAATGCAATTAAATGAATGCTCTAAGTTTAAAAATCACCCTTTTCCAGTTCATATTATTCATTCTCTAATATATCTGTTTATTCCAAAGTAGTTTGTAAATTAAAATCAAAGCTGCAATTAGAAATCTTCTCTCCTATTTCTCCCCTCACATTTATTGCTCTCACCTTATTGCTTTCAGTAATTGTTCTTTGTTACAACAATAACCTCTTTCTTATAGAACAGACATTCTTTTATTTTTAATATATGTTTTCAAAGAGTTTTTTGAAAAATCAAGGCTATGAGGCTCTATGACATTGTTCCTAAACTAAAATTGGCTGTTTTTTTCCTGTCAAAATGATCAGAAAAGTTGTTACCAAACCAAAGGTTATGGTAGACAACTGAGATTTTAATATATTACATTTTAGCAAACGAAGGAATAATAAAAAAGGCAGATAAATGATACAATTTAGAGTTTTGTTTTGTTTTGCTTTTAAGTGGAAAAGCAAAGAGTTAATTCCTTTAGGAAACAAGGCTTGTAAGTAGGTATTCCCAACACAATAAAATAAGTTGGCTTAAGATATTTTACATGAGCCTAATATATTTATTTTTGCCTTAAAACCCTTAATTCACAAGGAAGATTTATTTACCATAGCTCCAAACATCACTCTGATGGGTGAATTTTCTGTAGTGTATACACTCCAGAGCCATCCATTTAATTGGCATCTGAGAAATAAAAAGAGAAATAAAAAGTGAAAGTTTTATAGTTATATAAAAAGTCATTCCTATATTCTTTTCCCAAAATATGAGTCTCTGGGTTTGCCTCAATTGTATTTTTTGATTGTGTTTTTTTTGTGTGTGTATAGAAAATACAAATATAATAATAACAAACATGTTATTTCTCAATACAGAGAACAATGAATTGACATTTATAAAATTCTTAAAGTGAATTAACCTAAAGGTATATTTATTTTTAAAAGCTTCATAAACAATGAAAAGTAAAATAGTATCACTTTCTATAGTTCTTAATTAATGTTCAATAAGTAATTCAGTTATTAGTTAATATTATGACTCACAATATCAATTCTAAACATTTAAGACATGTGCTTCTAAAAATATGATCTACTACATTTCCCCCACCCTCCCATCCCAAAATGAGATTCCTTACATTTTCACTTATTCTTTTTTACCCTCAGAAAATTTCTGGCCACCAGTAAGATGGTCTCTTTCTATACTTGCCCCCACCTTTTTCCTCTCATATAATTTGGTCACTTGAAACACCTAAAATAACGAATTCCAAAGTTAGGCTTGCTTTGTTCCCCAGCCACAAATGATCTCCCTTGTCTTGGTTAGTCAGTATTGAAAACATGTACCATTTTCAAACTAGGAATTATATAAAAGAATGTGAGAGGATCAGTACAAATCTATGATCACTACAAGAAAAACAACTCAACTCACATACCCTGCTGATGAGGGGTCAGCAGAATAGGTTTCAACTAGGAAGGGTAGCATTATATAGCTGGAAATATAATTAGATTCTATGGAATAAAGATAAACACTTCTACTTTGCAGTTGAAAGCTTAAAACTAAATAGGCCTTTGAAATCATGAGGTTTGCTGCTCACCAAGGTGACATCAAGGTAACCGTATGACAGAATCATGGTATTCAGTGAAAGGGAACAGGAGACACACTGGAAGTGATTTCCCTATGGGCAAGGAGTTAGCTGACTTTACGGACTACAGAATGGTGTTAAAGAAGTAAGTTTAAATCACAGGTGGCTTGATAAAGACTTAATGGTTACTAGGCATTTAAAGCTATAATTAATCTTGCTTTAGACAAATCCTACAGCTGTATGTTCCTAAGACAAATGAAGTCATGTGATTTATAGACTTCTGTGTAATCTTGTAGTGAATTTCAAAGCTGTGGTCTCAGACTGTGGCAATTTGGTAGCAAACAGGCAAAACAGTCTGATAAAATCGAGGAAAGATTAGGAAATACTACAAAACTGAAGCTTTTTAAAATTTTTCTTTGTCTTGTGATAAGATCTAAATATACATAGTTATATAAGAGATCCTATGAAGATATAAAAATCATATACTACATGACATATAAAAATCAATGTTAAGCATTTGGAAGCCTATCATTGCAAAATATCTGTGATATATATTTGGATGGCTCATATAAATAAGGCACATGATAAACATATTTAAATGACATATCGATCCCTTTTTTTTGTTAGCATGTGTTTATATGTCACCATAGGTTAAGGATGCATTTGCTTATTTCATTTGGCCTCTCCTGATCTAAGTTTTCCCACATTAAGCTAGAAGGACCTCCAGATGGAGAGGAGATATCCTTAGCCAAGTCTAAACAGTGGGTTAATGAGGAAAAACAAGAGCTGGAACTAAGGCCTGGACTGAGACTATATGGCAGGAACACAGTTGTCAGGCAAGACCCGAGGCTGGACAGTCAGAAAAGTAGAAAGGGAATGGTACTGTTAAGATCCCTGGGATATAGTGGCCTACATTCTGGTGGAGAGAATGAGGTAATAAATAAAGCAAATTGGTCAATCATATACTACAGTAAAGCTTAAAAAAATAGAGCCAGATAAGAGGAATCTGTTATATCTGGTGTAAGAGGATTAGAAGCTAAATAGAATGATGAACTTTCCAATGATTTATGGTTCTTGGTAGTGGTCAGGCTTCTCCCTAATCTATGAAAGAATAGTTGTGTCTCTCTGTAGTGGTAAGTCCTGTGTTCTTAGGATCAGTGAAACAACTTCTATGGACCTGGATTAAAGTGTAATTTCTAAATCGCCTAAGGATCCACTCACTTCCCAATACTGGATGTGACAGAAGGACCCCTAGAGACGGACTGTCTTATTTTGGCTACTTTTGAGAAATGGATGTTGGTATATATAATATATTTGACCCTGGGTGAGAGAGAGGGCAAACGGTGGAATTGAGATTTTACACTTTCATAACTTCAGACTTAGTGGCTTCTTCCTATAATATGTAAGAAGATAAAAGAATATCATACTATATTTTCAAGCAATATTGCTCTAAAAAGATACCCACCTTTCCTCCATCAGCATTATACTCCTTTTCATCTCCTTCTAAGAGTCTGGCTAGTCCAAAATCTGTGATTTTCACATGGTTTGGAGATTTCACTAAGACATTTCGGGCTGCCAAATCCCGATGAACAAGCCGTCTTTCTTCCAAGTACATCATTCCCTGAAAAACACCAAGTTCCAAAAAGATAGTCAGTTAATGCCTACGCTTTTCTATTTGTCTAAAAAGCAGTTTCTTAGCCTTCAGTTGCAAGTGCTTGATGTCTCTAAGCGAAGCCTGGATCCTGGAATATTTTCAAAATTAGGAAAAACCTGGGGTAAAAAAGCAAACCACAAATAACTTTTAGCCTTTATCCCCTAAAGTCCTATAAAGAATGAATTACCTGTACATGAGCTAAATGTTAGATCATTTTTTTTTCCTCAGGGACTTTATAATCTTTTGTAAACACTTTCACTAGTGAGGCGTAAATGTCTCTCAGTAGATAAGCTAACACACACTTGGACTGACCCACATTATTTCTAGTAGTTTTCTTCTCAAAAACTAATGATGTAATGTATGGTGGTTAACATAACAATAGAAAAATTATTAAAAAAAAACCAAAAAAAAAATATATTCAAAAAAAAGGCCTATAATTTTTTTAGATGGCTTCAATGACATTAGTAGTCATTATAAGAACCCACAAGTGAAATTACATTGTTTATAATGACCCTGAAATTAGCCTTTAATATGTTTTCTTCATTAAATATATAGGGTAATTAAAAATAAAATGTATTACTGATTGCCAACAATTATATATATCCACATATATCCATATAAGTTCATATATATTCATAGGTATACATCCATAATCCACAGAAGCAATAAATATTAATTGTACTTTACCAGTAGGGAAACTAAGAGTCATTAAACATTAGCCTTGAATAGGAGCAAGATGGCGGAGGAGTAGGAGACCTGAATTTCGTCTGGTCTCAGGAATTCAGCTGAATAGGGATCAAACCATTCTGAACACCTACGAACTCAACAGGAGATC